GTCGTGACGTATGGGGTGCCGCAGGGTACTGTTGTAGGACCACTTCTATTTACCGTTTATATAAATACCTTTATGAAAATCTTTTCGATGACAAACACGTTTCTTCAGTTTCGCGGATGATACGCCTATTCTGTACAAGGGAGAATCCTAGTCCAACCTGAAAATTGAGGTCCAAATTGACTTTCAAAAAATATGTGATTGGTTCAAATATAACAAACTAACATTAAATAGCGAACAAACTTATTACTTACTGTTCACAATTTACTCCAACCACTTAACTAATCTAGAATCATTTGGAAATAGTGAAAAGAAATGAAAGGAAAAATCTTGAAATCATTATAGATAGATATCTGAGATGGGATTTGCATATTACCAGCGTGAAGAACAATTTGAGAGGATTGCTAAGCAACTTCAAATATTTGGTCAATTACTCAAATATGAAAAACCTTAAAATATTGTATTTTGCACTGTTTCAGTCTCAGCTACCCTACGGCATCCAGGGATGGGGTGGCAGAATAAAACTTGAGTATTTTGAGTGTAATACAAAGGTGAATATATTTGATATAAGACAAATAATAACTTCTATAAATAAAAACAAAATTTATCTCCAATCCATTGAGCATAAATATAATACAAGAACTAAGACGAAATATAAAAATGTTTCATGCCGTGAACGTTCCTTAGAATTCTTGTCTCCGAATCGTTCCGATATTGACACACTCACCCAATATAGACTTTAAACACGGAATTGATACATTTATCCCAATTTGATGCATTCACCTCATTATGACCTTTTACTCGATATGGGCCTCCTACTTAGATTACGTTATAAATTTATTCATCATTGGATTTATATTTTTTTTTATATTTTTACGCACAAGCATTTTTACTTCAGTGATCAGTATGTTTGTTTTAAAATTTTGTTGTAATCCATATATATATATAAACCCCGGAAAACCAACAATGTTTTTTTGATGATTTCTTGTAAACGTCTGAAAAAGGGATTTTGATAATGAATCAGGTGAACATTTTGTGAAAATTGTTGCATGGATTTTCATCTTATCGCCAAACTGTCTTCGTTAGGTTTTTATGGACCAATCTTGCAATGGATCCAGAGTTTCTTGTCTGGTAGAAGCCATATAGTAAAAATAGGAGGCTGTGTATCATCCACAATTCCGGTTCTTTCGGGTTTTCCTCAGGGTTCCCACTGTGAACCTTTGCTAGTCAATCTATTTATTAATGACCTAGCTACAATTATAAAACATAGTGAGGTACTGATTTTCGCTGACGTTAAAATATTCAAATCAATTTCTTCTACAAACGATGTCTCACTCTTACAAGAAGATTTGTCACAATTTTATGTCTGGTGTGTTATGAATCACATTTTGTTTTTTTAATGGTCAGTTTTATATGTATAATTTTCCAATACACAATTTTTGTTTGCATTTATGCAAATATTACGTATTTTGCTTTAAATAGGTGTGGTACCCCAAAAAATGTTCGCGCCTCCGGCGGGCTTTTTCGTGTGTATATAGTCTTTATGACTTTAGCCTCCCCTGTTCTCCAATGCACGAGCCGTCACTGTCTTTATGATATAAACATCAATTATAGGATAAAGAAAAAATTTTTTAATTGAACATAATATTTTCACTCCATAAATTGAAGAATTTAAAGGGTTGAACATTTTGTTTGTAAAACCATACATGCGTTTGAAAGTCGAAACTTTCCGTTCGTTTCATAATGAGAAAAAGTATTGTTTTCAAAAATAATTTTAAATTTCTATTTCACATAAATAAACTATATACATTAGTTTTAATCAAAGAAATCCATCAAGCACAATATTTTTCAGTTTTCATTAAGGAATTTTCTGAAACTCGCTGTAAATTTTTGTTGTGGATCAAATTTTCGACTAATTCTGTTCCAGTCTTGCGGTCGTTCTCTCTCGATGAATCTTGAAGTTTTTCTAATAATTCTCTTCTGGGAATCCGAGCATTTGGCACAGTTGGTGGTTATGGCCTCAGGAATATGTTCTAGAAACAGATTATAAATATAATTATAAATGAAAATTCATCTCTTTTACAGTTTCTTCAAGAACTGAAAAATATTTGCGGGAAAAGGTAAACACCTGTCGGATATAATCCAACGCCTTTTGTGGTATTAGCCAGGGGAGTAGTTGTTTTTTGATAGGTGTCAGTCCATTAACCCACAATGTAGGTAGTTGAGACTGACCTGAACCAATTGTTTCTTCAGATGATTTGATGTGAAAAACAAAATATACATATAAACGCGTGCGATCGCTGTTAATCATAAAGTGCTATAGGGCGACGCGCTATTCATAGGCACGTGCCGCCGGATCCCTTCATTTTGAATCTTCAATTTCTTCGAAAATATTTATTAAAAGTACATGCTGTAATATTGATCTATATTTAATGTTCAATGAATTTAAGGTACTCAACTGGATAAGGATTAATGCTGTATTGCTAAAAATCGCTTCGAAAATAAGCCATTATTTTTGTTTGAAGATTTCAAGTTAAGTTACTTCACGACGTTTCGATTGTTAGAATCCACAATCGTCTTCGGGTCATCACCCAAAGACGATTGATTAATTATAATAAAAATTACAAGATTATAGAACAATGAAACATGAAATTAACAGAATGAATTACAAATCCATATGACTGAAATGCAATAATTGAAAATCGGGATTGAATTTTGATGAGTTGAAAAAAACTTTTTTTGAATTTTCTGAATGCTTTGGGCTGAGCCTGTCAGTTCATCAGTCCAGTCCGCTCTATTAGTGCACCGACTATAGGAACCTACCTACAGGCTTATCATTGAAATCTATCTATTGAATATGTTCATGATTCTGTTTTTCAACTTCTGATACTTTGTTTAGAGAGTTGAGATACAAAAATGTAGGACTGATTATTCAATTCCTTGTTATTCATTAGATTCTTGAAGCACCAAAAAGTCTGGTGTTTCACAAATTGCTCAATGTTTACGATTGGATTCACAGTCCAACAATTATTTTTTGATTAGAAGCGTGAACGAAAGAACACTATTTGAAACACAAATTTCTCATGTAGAAATGTATCTAATCAGTATAAGCAATCTCAACATCTGCAGTATGTGAGTCAATAAAGATAATGCTAAAAAAGTTCTTGCTGTCAGCCTAGTTGTTTTATAACTTGAAATATTGTTGATGAATCCGGAATCCTTATTACCTTTGAAGAACATTCAAAATTTCAATTTTTTATGAGCTACCGTATTTAAGTAAATATTATGAAACGTTAAGTTGAACTTTTTGTTTGTAATTTGAGGTGCAATATAAACATTTTATTTGAAAAAAATCCATCTGAAACAATATGCAATATAACTGTTTACAACACCTGCACCGTGTAATGATGTCAATGCTAAAAAAACATACTAATCAAATCCAATACGATTTCATTCTGGAGACATACAATAAAGGTCAAGGTGATGCAGACATTTCACTATCATTGCTAACACAGTCACGTCAAGAATTATATTCAGTGACACAATCTAAGTAGCAATGCACTTATGTACGAGTATTAGTAATTATTATTGTTAACAAGTTTCTGCAACTTCCAAGTTGATTTGCGAACATGCGGCAACTACTATAGGCGCATTAACTAATGTAGAGGCTGTGAATATACCCCACGTTGAAACTCCAATTATGGAAATACAATAAACTTAGAAGCTAGCGTTTGAAAAAAAATATTTCTTCCATTTTTCTGTATCATTCTTCATGATCATCTACCTTTTCTCTGGAATAATTTTAGGTTTTTCAGTCAGCAAGTTTTATTTCAACCATAATTATTTACTGTTCGTTAAAGTGTGCATTTCTAGAGAATTTTTACCTACATTAGTTTCTTTATTCACTTTTTATCATATTCTCCTCAAACCAATAAATCACCTTTTTAGTAATAATTCATTACATACATTTTTTGAATTTAATTGTGGATGATTGCCAAAAAATAAAATGTCTTTAGCTAATTTAGACAAATGGTTTTGTTCTGGTTTTGATTGATATTGAGATACCTAGAGCTTACTAATTTTTTGATAGTCATCTCGTACAATTTCGAATATTTACTTCGACTAGTAGCGAAGAGCGTAGCCTGTAGTCACCCGCCAGGATGGATAATGTGTCGTGGCGGGCGGGTGATATCATAGGAGACGTCTCCTTACTGCCATGGAAAAACCTACCTAAGAAGGTAATTGTACAGTGACCACTGATTAGATCCCTTCCAGATTGAGCAAAATGTACCATAGTCCGATAACCTTGGAGTGGAGCTATTGCTTTTTTTTATATAAAAATGGAATTCTCATAACCTTTTGCCCGCAGACCAAAGCCAACATACCGGAAAATAGCTTTGACACAGTTATCTTCGGCCGAATGGTATTTTAGTTCTCTATAAAACTCCCTATACTGTTTTGAATTTGGATAATCGATTGCGGAGTTATTGGTGTATAAATTGGAGACTAGAAAACTTGAAAATTCGAAACTGCCGAAAACGTTATTTGCTTTGGTTACTAATGCACTTTTTCGTCAGCAAAGCAATATATTGAATTTTTGTGTTTTTCTCATGCCACACACGGTCAAATGCCTTAGAAATATCAAGCGCAACAGCTCTTGATTATCTACGTTTCTCGATTTCGTTATTCCAAATGTGGGTGACATATGATAGAAGGTCGCATGTTGATCTTTGTTTCCGAAAGCCATATTGATGATCACTCAAAATGTTGAAGCCTTCCAAATATTTGAAGATATGGTAGTTTACGACTTCCATCATGATTTTTCATATCACTGATAGCAAAGCGACTGGCCTGTAGTTATTTGAAAGATTTTTCTTGCCCTTTTTGGGAATAGGCTGAACGAGAGCAATCTTTCATCAAGAAGGTAAAACATCTTTCTTATAACACAGGTTGAAAGGCCAGCAAAATACCGGTGAGAGTCTTTTGCGCACTTTTTAAGTACGATGACGGGCACTTCATTAGGGCTTGATGGCTTTTTGATATTGAGTTGTTTCAAAATGAGCCTGACTAGAAGTTATCGGAAAGCAATCTCCGGCATTACGGATTCTATTGTAGGAATAGTAGTAGAAAATCGACTGTGGAGTGGGATGCATATTATTGTTCAGCTAGTAAATTTGATTTTGCTATGGCGGTTGTTGCAATTGAACCATTCGCTTGTATTAGTGGTGGAATTGTGGTTTTTGCAAACTTCTGATTACCAGCTTTAGCTACCGACCAGAAGGATCTAGACCCGTTGGGATTGGCATGCTGTTTATCCGTAATTATCTGATTGTGAAGTTCTTTGCTTTCATTTATCCTAAGTTTGCAGCTCTTGCGAGCCTCAATAAACCTAGTTCGGTTTTCGGAGGCGACAGCTTGCTCGCAATTTTTGTTGAACTAAGGTTTGCCGTTAGAAGGTGGTTTCATTGAAAGAGGAATATATGCATTCATGGATGATAGAATAACTTCCGTGACTTCAGAAGCACATGTTGATGGATCTTTAGAAATGAAACAAACATCTAGCCAGGGGAAATTTCACAAATAGTCTTAAAGATCCTCCTATTCAGCTGATTTGTAATGCTGTAATTGTTACCCAACATTTATGGGTAATCCTAATGTAGACCTTACGGTAACTGTGTAAATTTCTGGATTGGTTGTTAGGTTAAGATCCAGAACACTAGCATATTCTCCATCTCGATCAGGAATCCTGGTTGGCGCATTTATAATCTGAGTAAGTCCATTGTTTATTGCAAAATCCCCAGCTTCTCTACCTTGTTCGTTGTTGATATTTGAAAATTTGAGCCATTCAATATTGTGGATATGGAAGTCACCAAATATGGAAATTTCGACACTGGGATGATTGATTTGTAGAAAGTCAATGGTGTTTGAAAATGAAAAAATATTGCCCTCTATTGTGTATTGCTAGGTGGTCGATAAAAGCAGCATATGAATTTGGCGATCTTCGGTGGTATTATTCTGAACCACATAACATCAAAGTTTCGCAGCATTTCCTCTGGTTGAAAGGAGAGTTGGCTTCTGATAAAAAAGATATTCTATATTTACGTTTGAATCGGGAGTGGACATCATAACTGGAATATAGAAAAATGACGGGGTTTGTTGGAGCACTGTCTTTGGTTTCTGTGAGTGCAAGAATATGAGGACTATTTGATTGCAGATGTTGTCGCATTGATTTTATATTTGAGTGGAGTCCTCTGATGTTGCAGACACCGATTTTGAAGTTGCTAGTGAGCCACTTAGCAACTGCAGTTACCATGCTGTTTCCCTGTGGACTGATGTTAGGAAGACCCTGTTGACTGTCAGAAATAGTGATTTTTGAATAACTTTTGCACGATAATGCCCTTGAATCAGCCCCTACCCAGAGATTCGATTGGGGAGCTATTTTACCTATGGAGTATATTTTGACCTTAGGAGCATCATCATGCATTTTTTCTTTCATTCCCACCATTCAAACCGAAAACAGCGGCATAGCAACGAAACGTTAGCCCAAAAGCAACTTCTCGCTGCCTAAGCTGTTGCGATGGTATCTCACCGGGCGCTGCCGGCTGGGACCAGCATCTACCATCTGTGTTCATGTATTCATGTGTGAAAATATGAAAAGAATCACTATGGATAATTTAATGATCTGAAAGAGAAGGTTTCAATCAAAAAATCTTCTCTTCAGCGGCAAATTCTGGGAAAGGAGAAACAAATGAATTCGATAGCTATCATTTCTAGTCTCAATTCCATAATTGAAGATTTATAGAGTCTCTCATTGAGCGCTTTCTATTTTCAAATTCAAATTTATAACAGTGTGTGTGAAATATCATCGAAATTTTTCATTCGTTTGAAAGACCTATTGATGCCATTATGTTTGGGACATACGAGGTTGCCTTTTATATTTCGGTATTAGAGAACAAAAACAAATATTAAGCATCGAAAATCACTTTATTGATTTTCAAAATATTTCCCATGAAGATCTATACACTTTTGCATG